TAGATAACTTTATGTAAAAATATGTCCTGAAACAATAATTTATTTGTAGATGATGATAGTGAAGCCAATCCTAAATTATGCCATTCATTGTTAATTATTACAGGAGTACTTTCAGAAGCAATACTTCAGGACGTGATAAATTACAAAAGTAACAAAGATTCAATGAGAGTAAATTATAAACACTTATAGCTTAGTTTAAACAGGGCAGTGATATAAAAGTAATGAATATCCGATTTGCTATCTGCCCATGTGTGCAGGTTCGATAAGTATGCTAGTGCGGAAAGTACTAGCGATGGAATTACTTCATTATATCGTGGAAAAAACCTTTACTTACACTTTTTCTGTATCGAAAGTGTTTATTCAAATTTTATCATCAAGACAAAAATACGTAAATACGCCGTTTGCTTAGTATAATGCATTTTCAAAAAGTTGTATTATTATTTTTATTTATATAGAAATAGAGTTGTTTAGAAAATTTATAGTTAATAATTTTTAATTTTGTTAAAATATTTTATTTATTCTATTATCGTTTAATCATATTCACACCGTAATTTATGTTAATAACTACAGTCGAAATTGACGAAAAAAATTACACAATTCATTTAAATGAAAATTATCCAATTAATAGGAAATATTGGATTTTAAATAATAAAATAATAATTAAAAGATTACACCTGAAAAATCACTAGCACATTTATTTTACTATAGCATTCGCATTTTATTAAAGTTCTAATTTTATCTCTGCACGTATCTAGGCAATAAAAAAAAAGAAAGAAAATGGCGCACTCACGGATATTTTTCCCGAGGTAGGTTGCTCAAGCGCGGGTGGCGTTGGAATGATAACACAATCACTGTCCGACGTATCGCTTACATATAATGCAATATTAACTGTTAATGGGATGGGTGATAAAACATTTTTTATACATATTCCCTACCGCTTTGTAAGTATGGATGCAAACAACGCGCCGGATGTGTTAACGCTTGAAGTGAACGCAAAGTAATTGTTTTACGGTTAAATGAAGACCTAAGTTTTCGTTTGAGGAAATTTATAATGTAATATACTACAACATACTTGTTATATTCCTTTTAAATTAGAATTCACGCACATTTTTTTCGTATTTATCTATTATCTGATTTTATCTGTGCACGTGCTGGGAATTAAAAATTGCCGCATCGACGGCCAGTGCTCCAGCTATTTCATCTTAGCTTATTTCAGAGTAAAAAAAAAACATTTTTAAAATACCAGATTGGCATTATAAATTCTGAAGTTCTATAATTATTTAATAAATGCCTTTTGGTCGGAATTCAACCATTCTGCGACAATTAGTATTGATATTATAATTCTATGTTTAAGGATATAAAAATTCCCTTTGTTGAACTTATATATATCCTCTGGGGTAAAAATCTTTAGAATATACAGCACGATTTCGTGTCTCTTGGTATTTGTATTATTGCTCATTTTAATGTGAACGACAAGTACGTCAGCTCCCAACTATTGTAATAACTTCTACTGTTGATTGTCTAGAAATACGGAAGGCACGGCACAGGCTTATTTATGTATGCGTATATTTTATTACGACATTAAAACTGAGAGGGTAAAAATTGTATGGATGGTGGTTTGTTGTGGATGGTGATTTGTTTCTTAATTAATTCAATAATAAATGTATTCATGTACGGAAAATTATTTTTATGTAACAAATGAATATGTTTTTAGTCATAAGTTAGAAATAAAAGAGTACCGCCATTTACATTTCCTTTTTAAATTATAATATTATAATTTATTAAAAATTTATTTATTTTTAGGCGATTTAAAAAGGAGGTTATCCCAATTTGGTTTAATTTTTGTCAGAACTATGTAGCTCAGAAGTCTATAAACTAATTAAGAATTTCTTTTAGTGGAAAGATATTTTCAAGGCGATCCCATTTTAATTTTATTGGACCATGGATTTCGAAGCTAAACCTAGGAACTCCAAAATCGCAAAAATGTTAATAGTTTGAACTTATTCTAAAATCGAATATAATAGGCACGATAAAAAGATAGAGAAAAATACTCACATTTATCGTAAATATCCTTTCGGTGTTTCAATTTCGGTCGGGGGGAAAAGTAATAAATAAAAAAAATAACTTAAAGAAAATGGCGGGCCACTGTCAGTAAGGCTTCTGTCACAATATGTGCACTGCTGCGGTCAAGACAAACGCGATGACTACTGTAAAACTGGCCCGACTCGCGCTTACAACTAGTTATTTAGAGTAAAACACTGAATATCACGGCATGCACCCTCAAGAGGTACGATTTAAATATATGCAAAACGTAACAAACGTTTGTTTGTTCGGGTTAGATTTTCTAACTCTTCGCTCCGCTGAGACCTGAATTAATCATGTTTTTGAAGTACAAAAAGCATTCCTATTTAAGTCCACGACTCTATGCCGGTGTATATCTATTTGACGGTGGTACGGGCCACGCAGCAGCCTCGGCTGTTGCACGAATGGGCAGGCTCGTCCGGGTAAGTACCACGACCTCACCGAAGACCGGCGTAATGTGGAAGTATAATACTTTCGCGTTTCGTCTGGTGAGTGAGGCGGCCGGAGCCCAATTTTCAAAAGGTTGTCAACGCATTTGGAACCCTCGGGTGTAGCAGATGTCCATGGGCAGCGGTATTCACTTAACCTCAGGTGAACCGTCTGCTCGCTTGGCAATTTTTCTCTGACATAAAATAATTTATCATCCTTTATTACTTATAGTTAAATCGCAACAAAAAAAATTCCAACCTGTGGGTGTAAGTCTTGAAGTTTTTAACGTAACTTATCTCCCGAATTTAACGTGCCAGTACAATTGTGAAATGTTATGTTTTTTAGGAAGTGCGAAATGTAATAAACAATTTATTTTAATTCAAATAATATAGTAACATCAATATCGCGACAACTTCGACGCGAGCGAAGACAGGTGCGACGGCTAGTCTAGCGGGAAACATGCAGGAGGGTTGACTTGAAGTACCGATAACGGCATATACATCGAATCGTGGAAAGTTAACGTGTGATTAAGCGAATACTTCCTAGGTTAAATCACACATTTACGTAGTCATCCTCTACTAAATTGATAGGAAACGAACGGAAAACTCAACAAAAATAATGTTGTAGAAAAGTTATTAGATATCATTGGCACTATGGTATTTGTTCACTACCCATTTGTGTTTTACTCAACGGACCGGCGCTTGCTATCCACCTGGTGGTGTTGTAGTCTTAGATGGTAAACGCGCTAGCTCAGCAAGTTTATCCTCACTTGTCTTGAAGACACTGCCGTCACACTCGGAAGGGAAAACGAGCGCTGGCTAATCGTTTTCCTCTCTTTCTGTTCATTACGAAAGAGGAGGAGGATCTCTTCGTTCGAAAGTGGGGCTTTCATAGCGTCCGATGATGGAAGGGGGAGGGAGAAATTAAATTGCGCAATTCCTGTGCACACTTTCTTGAGCACACCTTTTTTATACGGCACCAAAAGGAAAAACTAGACACTTTGCCACAAACAAACGAGAGTCGGCTCTGATCTCTTTATGTCCCCGATCAATGCCCAAAGAGAACTCAGTGAGAGAGAAAGGATGAGGAAAGAGAAACTCAGAGAACTGGGGAAGGTTAACCTTCCACGGGCTCAGTTGCAGAGGTATACCAACGCTTTCCGTAGATCCCAGAACCTCTTACAACCCACATAGAACCACTGAGTGGGTTTAAGTGGGTAAGAATCCCACGTAACCATATCTTCGCCCCACGAATCAGGTCGTAAAGTCAGCTGATAGCCAGATGAGTGAAGATCGACCAGTGGTTTGGTACTTCTAAATTAGATTCGGGCCATCAGCAATTTGGGAAGGTTCACGGTTAGTTTTTATTAAGAATAGCGGAAGCTCCTTATTAAACATATGTCGAGCCACTGAAGAAGATAAGTCTTTTACCATCCGTTCAGTATGGGATCGAAGACGTCCATGGGTGATAGTAATAACTTAACATAAAGTGAACTGTTTACACGTTCGTCAACTCAAATAACTTTTTATTCTATATATTCTTTTCTGAGAAGTTCTATAAAGATAGAATAGAATAGCATCTGCAATATTTTTGGCATTGTGTAGAACCAACCATGCGCGGCAGTTATCTAAAACTATTGCCTCTGAGCTATGTAACGGGTTTAAATGCTCTCGAGTTAAAGTTCCTATCTTGCAGTTGTTAAATATTATTAAACTTGTAGATCATTTTATATAGTTCGTGTGCTGCACTATCAAGAATTTATCTATCCTTTATTTATAAATTTTCCACCTGTAGAAAAGTATTGGTATTTAAATTAGAAAACATAGTTAAGCAGAATTACAGACATTCAATTAAATAGAATATAAAATTTTAATCGCAATGCTGGTTTAAAAAATGTTGATCAACAGGAAAGTAGAAGGGATATACGATAAATTTCTGATATTGAACGTAATTTTTGCAAATGTATCTAATTAAACGAAGCATAGATTTTCTATCATAAATAAATCTTGTAAGTTGAAGTAGGTAAGATAAAAACTAATTGATTCAACAGAGCGCCTTCCACTCCACTTATCACAATCTCTATTTAACTAGTACATGCTGGATGTCATTAATGGGTACTACCTATGTTTAAAATAATTTCCTATATAAATTGCTAGCTATAAGACAATAGATTAATGGAATAAATGGAACGATCGTTTTCATGCTGACCGGAGGAATGAAAGCAGCAATCGGATATTACAGCCATACTGCTTCGACCAGACTGTTATCGATCTAATAAAAACTGTTAGCGTGTAACAAACTTACAGCACAAAAAAACGTTTTAAGGCTGGCCACTTTTGAAATTGACATAATAATGTCTGTTTATATTTAAAAAAAAAAACAATATGTGACAATTCAAAACCAGTTTCGACGCGAAGATCGAAATTTTCCAATAAACATGACTGGTGTTTCGCAAAACTAAAATCATCCCGAGTGTGTTAATAATCAAAATGGCGTCCCAAGTAAGATTTGTAGATAAGCTTAACGAGGAGTACGACATAGACAGGGCGTCGAAACTGTTGGGCTTAGGTCTGGAATCGAGGCTCGAAGACCTGAAGTGCGAGATAATCCAGAGGATCGACAAGGAGTTGCTCGACTCGCAGAACGCGAGGGATTTCGTCTCGCAGAAGTACGACGAGCTCTGCAACAAGATCCAGTACTTGGCCGAACTGGACGCCACCGTGACCAGCTTCAGGAGTGACGTGAAGACCATAGAGAATCAGCTCAACGAGCTAACAAGCAGGATGGACCGTATCGAGAAGAAAGTTATTTCGAGGGATTGCTCGGCGAATGCCTCTTCTATGTTTTGACATTTTATTTACCGTTCTTTTCCAACGTTTGTTCGACCGCTTTATACACAGCGAGGATTTAAGTGAATCATGGACTCTGAATAAATTTACTATGTTAAATGACAATGTTGCAAATAATCAATTTTGGCCCCTTGAATCCTTTATAAGTTTTGCAATCACATTGCCAAATATGAACATTAGGTTGAGATTTGTTTTCTTTTACTCCAGCATCTTCCACATTAGTCTTTAAAATTTAACTGTCTTTAGAAGTTGTCTAAATGAATATACTAGGATTACTTGCTTGTTTGGAGCAACATTCGCCTGGAAAAGCACCGTTGCTACAACTAATAAATTAGCTGAGCTTTCGAGTAATGTCTACAATAATTTCGCAAGATGAGTTTAGTAAGAACGTAGTCGTTATAAGGCCATTCTTTTACCCTTACTAATAAAGAAACAGGACAAATAATGAACAAAGAAAATGTGTTTGTCACCTTCAATTCTGACAAAATTATCAATTTAGGCTTGTTTCAAGCTTCATAGCTCGAACGATCAGCCAAACATAAAACAGTTCATTAGTTTACATCAGCCACAAGAACTGCCAAGAAATTCTGGTCTTGTTTTTAAAAATAAAATCAATAGTAGAGGATTTGCAAGTGCAGTTTGGAAATTGGAAGAATCATTTTAATACACTTGGACTCAATATAGTGTTAAACTGATATATTACATTTGTTTTGGGATTATTTTTTTGAATTGATTGTATACAGTGTTTTAAATTTATTTTCTCTCAGTTACTTTTGTTCAATTTAAAACATACACCTTGAAGAGGTGCAGAAACCGTTCTGGCTCAGTAGCCGGACGCTCGCTTTTAACTAGGAATACGTCTTGAGCAAGCTGAGTTCAAATCTCGGTGCAAGTACCAGGAATTGCTATTTGATATTTTAAGTGTTTATTAATTGCGTACTAGCTTATCGCTGGCGTTGAGGCCCTTAAATAAAAATCTTTCTTTAAAAATAGATTCCAATTCAAAATAGCCCATGTCTTTTCTCAGGCTCTAGACTATCTGTGTACCAAATTTCATTTAAATCGGTTCAGTAGTTTTGGCGTGAAAGCGAGATAGACAGACAGTTTATAATATTATTATGGATTTACCAGTACTAATTTCGGCAGTAACGGAAAACTTCGCGAGGAAATCTACATAACCTTACATCTACATGTGTAAGTAATAAAAAAAAAACGCAGTAGCGTCGCGACGGATTATACTCTAATTTAGAGGATAGTCGAGTGGGGAGAGCTATGTTGAGGCATGGGATATAGTTGTAAGGCAAATGATTGTAAAACAATTTTATTCTTTGTTTTAGAGTTATTATAAAAAATGTCAAACATTATGACAGAGTAAAAATTTGTGAAATGAAAAACAACATTTAATTCAACATTTATTGCCAACAATTAATATAACTAAATTGTATAACCTCAAATATATAAAAATAATGTAATTCAAAATAAAGTATAATAAAAACAGTAATAATAATGTAAATCGAAAATTTATCCCTATTCCTTTACACTTGTACAAAATCAGTCTAAGAATATTGACCGATGTTAAAATTTAAAAAAAATACATTCACTAGTATAGTTTTTTTTTTACATAAAAACTTTATCGCGGGAATGAAATTTCACAAGTGATTCTGTACTCTACACAATATTACAAAGCTATTATCAATATATAATTATAATAAAATATTTGGCACATTTTATTTCGTTCGTTAATTATTTAACTAATTGCTTAAAATATATTCGTTCACAATTAAAAAAATATTAATATTTTACATGTACGTACTATATGACTAATCTACTTTATTTTCTAAACTAATCACATCAGGTTCCGATCAGATTAAACAAAAAAACCATTCGTTTCATTCATTCATTACCATTCGTTCGTCGTAACAAAATTCATTCGATACAATAACCTAAATTTCAATCGGTCTGCGCTCCAATGACCATAGACAACAAAACAACCGCCACGCTATTTGAGTATTTCAATGATTAATGTACACGATTCGGCCTATTTACACCTTCTTACCACCCAGTATCGCTTGAATCTGGCTCACGGTCTTCCCTTTAGTTTCCGGTATCAAAAAGAATACGAAGAACACGCAGATCACCATGAAAGCGGCGAAGAACCAGAAGCAGCTGTGAATACCAATCGCGTCCTTCATCAGCGGGAAGCAAAGGGTCACGACGAACACCAAACACCAGTTCGTGATCACCGCAATGCCCGACGCCGAGCCCCTGAACTCCACGGAGAACAGCTCCGCCATCATCATCCACGGTATGGGACCGAAGCCGAGCGAGAAGGAGATAATGAACAGAACGAGACAGACGAGAGGAATCCAGCCGACGGTAGCGACATTCACACCGTCAGTCTGCAGCTTGAAGTACACGCCAAGAACGACCAAGCATACACCCATGATGATGCAGCTCTGGAGAAGCAGGATCCGTCTACCGGCCCTCTCGACCAGCAATGATGATATATAAGTGGCGATAGTCTGCACCACTCCTACGATGATTGTGGCGATAGCGGGCGGTATATTGGAGCCGGCCGATTGGAAAATGTTGTTCGTGTAGAAGATGACGGCGTTGATGCCGCTGAACTGCTGGAAGAACATCAGCCCGAGGGAGCAGACGAGGGCCATCAAGGAGGCCCGGTTGGTGACCATGCTCATCATGCCCGCCCGTTGCCTGGAAGCGTCGTCCACCTGCAAGAGAAATCTCATTACAACTTCGTCATTGAGTTGGTCAAGTTGGAGCAGAAGTGAAAACGTAGATAGATATCAAAATGTTCGCGCCATGAGGTCATCCGCCAATTAGCTCAGTTGGTTAAGCGTCTAAGGGCGAAACCAGGTTCGAATTTTTTTTACCCAAAACTGCCCAGCACTTGACTGCCTTCTCATCTGATGATTAGTGACGATGCAGCCGTTTATGGTAAGCGCGCTAGCTCGGTAAAAGCCTATTCATTCTTGCCTCGAAGACGGCTACGATGAAAATAACTATTAAAATAAAGAAATATAGAGCTCCGAGCACGCTATTAATAAGCATTGGCATTTTGTAGATCTAGATTTAATTTAATACGACTTCTGTCTGCAGTATCATGTTGAAGTAGTCTGAAGCTTACATCTTTCTGCATGTCCTCCAGCTCGCTGGTGAGGTCGGCGTCAGGCCCTCGCAGCCAGCGCAGGGCCTTCTCGGCATCACGGCGACGGTTCCGGCTCAACAGGTATTGCGGGGTCTCTGGCATCCACCTGGCAACGTCGCAGATTGGATCATTGTACTTGGCGATTAGCATTCACCAAATGTTCTGGTCCGTTTCTTTGGTTTCGTTATTTCAGTAGTGATTTCATCATGATCATTGAATTATTGTTATAAACTGCATTTAGATTTAGAGAGAATACGACGATTACTTCCTTTTTGATATGTCTTAAGTAAAAGTAATGTAACAGCCTATACATGTCCCACTGCTGGGCAAAGGCCTCCTCTATTCAGAGGGTATCAGGGCACAGTCCACCACGCGGGCCCACTGCGGATTGGCGGACTTCACATATCTTCGAAAAATATTTTTTTTGTTATTATTTCGAAAATATGCGGGTTTCCTCACGATGTTTTCCTTCACCGAGGAACACGTGAGGAGGATAAGTCAGCACTTAAAGATAAAAACTTCATTCGCGCCGGCACCGGAGATCGAACTCAGGTTGCTCGAGTATATTGAAAGTACCCGGAGAACTGAGCTTTGCTCGGTTTGTTTTTTTTTTTGGTAAATCGTGTATTTTGGAAATTACATTTAGATACAAATTACTGAGTAATGAAATATGCATAATGTTTTTCGATCTTACCGACGTAATAATAAGAAAATATGAACTGATGTTTTTCACAAAAGAAAGAACTTTAAAAAAAAAGGGAAAAAAAAATAACAAAGTAAAAAAATCGACAAAAAATTAAAAATAAAGAAAGCAATGATCTGGAATCGAAAAAGTAAAAAAATAAATGTGTAAATGATCGTGACGCGAACCACGGCCGTCTGTTTTGGGGCCGCCCGATTACCGACCGAGCTATTATGACATTTTCTCTTGCGCCGAAATTTACCGTCATATTCGAATTATATTTTCATTCCCTGAAAACAGGGATAAAAGACATTTTCTAAAAATGAAACCTAGTCAGTTCGATTTTTCGCCCCCGAATCTACGCACATACTAAATTTCATGAAAATCGCTGGAGCCGTTTCCGAGATTCCGATTATATATATATATATATATATATATATATATATATATATACAAGAATTGCTCGTTTAAAGGATAAGATAAAGGCGAACGCCCGGACACTGAGCTATCACGGCTCTACGGATACCCAATATTAAATATAAAACTACATAATGTATCGTTTTTGAAAAGGACACTCATTAGACTACAGCAACGAGCGTAACTAAATTCATTCCACTCTGTTCTCTAAAACTTCTTAATCAATCGAATCTTCTTTAAACGCCACAGATTCATGTAAACCTTTTGTGTAGATAATATTAAAAATATAACTACATAATGGATCTTTTTAAAAAAGGAACTCACCAGAATACGGCAACGAGTAGCGGCGGCAACACAGCAGAGATGATGGATAGGGTGCGCCAGTGCGTCCATCCGCCGATGACGAAGGTCAGAAGGATCCCCACGGTGAGGAACAGCTGGAAGAACGCACCCAGCGACCCACGGATGGACGTCTCAGCAATCTCGCCGATATACATTGGTGCCGTCACGCAAATACCACCTAAAAAGTAAGCGTGAATTCATCAAATATTACATTATCATGGGCCAAATCCTTCCAGAACGTTTTCCTTTCATGTGAGTAGGTGGCAAGCGATTTGGCGGGTCACGTGTGTTAAGTGATAACCATAGCCCATGGAAGTTTGCATCACCGTTCGGTGGCAACCGATCTGCAACCGTAGGTTTGCAGAGCTTTTTAGAAAGCGGGCCGCTGTTCTCCCACTCACCAGGAGTGTAACTTCCATTTCCACTTTATACCGGGCTTCTGTGAGGTCGTGGTGCTTCCCCGAACGGAAGACCGCTGCGTGGCCCTACCACAGTGCTCATAACATCGACTAACGCTTAGGTTACTCCGTTATTATAGAGTAACTAAAATAATATTTGATAAGAGTTCGTTTATTAAATGGTTACCATTATTATTATCATTAAATTATGCAATACTTGTGTCACGATTCAGCACATAAAGGTCCTCGATCGGCAGAGCAGAACGGCTTATGAAGACAGACGTGAAGAAAAAGTATCTAAAATATGTCACTCGTCGATTATCGCTAAGCCTTTACATTGAATATGAATAAATAGCATTTTAGAGCCTGCTTTGTGGATGAGTGATACTTCTCTACTTCTCTTCTCCGATGATCTACTACGTCAACTTACCGGTAGCCAGACCCGCGAAGAAGCGTGCGGCTATCAGCATGCCAGCTCCGTTGGCGAAAATCGTCAGCAGCCAGTTGATCATAAAGGGTACGGCCAGGAGAAGTATGGTGGGCCTCCTACCCATGCGCTCCGCTAGGACCCCTACGGGTAGAGCGCTCAGGGCCGCCCCAATAGCCAATATCGATGACACCAGTGAACCTGTAACAATTTTTTATATGAAAGGTTGTCAAGCAAGTAGGCAGTTCACCTGATGTTAAGTCTAATGCCGATATTTTATACTCTTGGGTTCTTCTTCTTAAATCGTTTTTTCTTCTTTTCTTTTATCGTCATTTCTTCTTAAAAAAAAATTAATCGCTGAATGTGTTGCTAAGCGCAAATCTCGAGAGCAGGTAAACCGATTTCGCTAATTCTTATTTTACAATATTCCTTAGAGTATGAGGTTGGTTCTTACGGAGAGAAAAAAATTGTCTGAAAACGTCTAAAAACAACACTTTTCTATATTCCCGTACAAAAGATTCGTAATAATACTTAAAAGCCAATTTGAACTTTAATACCATACCATAAATTTTAAGTGTCCGTGGAGGGGTTTCGGGAAGGCAAAATAAGTGAGAGACTGTGGTAAAATGTCACTTGAAATGTAAACGTCTCTTTGCTTTGCATTACTACATCGTATAAAATAGTCGTCCCGCTGTCTGTCTGTCTGTATGCTTACGTCTTTAAAACTACGCAACGGATCTTGATGCGGTTTTTTTACTAGATAGAATGATTCAAAAGGAAGGTTCATATGTATAATATAATGCACCCGTGCGAAGCCGGGGCGGGTCGCTAGTGGTATATAAACCCTCTATTGTTAGGGTCGGATCATCATACAACGGTTGGCGGAACATCTGAAATGATTATAATATTTTTTTATAATAATCAACTATGTCAGGCGTTTACAATAAAAATATATCGCATATATACAATATATACAAATAAAAAGATATCGCAGCGGAAAGCACACAATTAAAATCATAAACTTATTCATTTTTAAATTGCGGCAGTTGTTGCCAACAGTTTGTATTTTATTGTTTTTAACGCTTGTATTTTTGGTCGACATTGGAGACAAAACAAAGTACGTCAGGTTCTATAATTAAACCTTTACGTGAAACATTTGCCAGTGGAGCTGAAAACGGTCGAGCCCCTTATTATGTCATAAACGGCATAATAAGGCCGATGTCACATTGAGAGCGAAGCGAGCTATTAAACATCCCTGTCCATTTTCCGAATAAAATGAAACAAATACAAAATATGTTAAAGCTTTATCAGATCAACGGAAATTTCCTAAACAAGCTATGTTACTATAACAAATGTTATGCGTGTTGTTTGTGTTATACTTTTAAGGGCTACCACCGGTTTCGATTTGGTGTGTGTTTGAATTTTCCGTTTGCGTTTTCATATAACTTACCTAATTTCTTTGGAATGGAGGTATTGCAAAGCAACGCGTAATACTATATCATCATCATAATCATCAGCCGCAAGACGTCCAGGGGGTCACCTGTTTTTGACCGCCCATAGGCACACAATACCCGTGAATATGCCTTGCCTTTACCAAACTTACGGTGTAAGCACCGGTTATCTCACACACCAGACTATAAAAGTATAGAGACTATAAGATTTTACGCCAGTGACTTTTCCTCATTCAAACAACATCCAAAGCCGCTCGTGGCTCTGTTTGTGTCTATTTAACGCTGCATGCGATATATTTACTTTTATCGCCTCGCTATCGCTGGACGGCCGGTCGTATAAGAGCACAGCTAAATTTACCGCACGCTGTGGATTCGCATCCGACGCAATGACGACAGTAATCCTTGTTTTAGCCGCTCTCCCGCGGAAGCTATAACGCGGGCACACCCACGAAGAAAATAGCTCACGAACATCGCGCGCGATGTTGGAACGCGGCCAGCACTGTCAGTCAGTACGCCGAGCATTGTTGGCGTTCTTAAAAAAACAACCGCGTTGTCCGTGTAAAATGTCTATGGTAAACAACATGGCCGCCTGAATGCGAATGTGTTTGGACATTGGACACTCGAATGATATACGAAACAGTACAAATTATCTCAGTGTCATTCGTGTGTGTAATCAAATCTGACTATTTTATAAGAATACGTAATAAAATTTAACTTCCTTATTGTTTATTAAACTGTTCGATTACGTAAGGTATGGTTACGTATATATCGAACATTTCAATCTCAAGTGGACAGTTGTTGGTACATTATGATAAGATGTTGCTGACAGCTTGGTCCATGCAGAACTATGACAAACCTGTACATACCTACCCATACATTAAAATACGTCTTCACTTTTACCTGTTTATAGTATAATCTGACAAATGAGCATGCGGTTCACCTGATCTTAAGTGATCCCCCTGCTCAGGAGCATCCCCACAGGTGTAACCACCTGATTAGTCGTGCTCCTATTGGGGTTGCCAGTTACGTTTCCAAATTTTTTTTAAGCGCGTGAGCCCCGGTTAACGTAATGATATAACAACATGTTCTGTTGTTTGGTTAGTAAGTTAACCGGCGCTGCAACTGAGCTGCATTTAACTTATATTTTTTAAAAAAAATATTTTTTTTTAAAATACCATTGGAACTGGTTGATAAGCGTGAGGGTTAATAGACTTTTATACGGCCGATACAATGTATACCTCCAAACAAAATTAAAACTATGAATGACATTTAAGGTTAAATTTTGCCGCACGCGTTAGGGGCCAACACAAACAGCAACATCACGTGACGTCTGAAAAAGAAACAGCACGAACTGTTTCCTTCTCAGTCCCGCCGAGTACGCGGAGGCGTTTGGAGTGTTGCCAGGAATGATGGCGTCATGTCAGATCGGTCGAGTAACACTGACATGTGATTGACCGGGTGAATGAGTGAGACCACTATCGAGAGAGATAAACATATAGATTGAGAATTATTTTCACGGTTTAATATCGCCCGATATTTAGGGCCAGTTTTGGAAACGTATGTTAACTAAAATGTGTAAGATTTCGTAAATCCGATCGAGTCGTCCAAGTTACTGTAATTAATCTTTTTTTTTTTGTGAGAAGTTGCCAAGCGAGCAAACGGTTCACCTGATGTTAAGTGAATACCGCCGCCCATGGACATCTGCTACACCCGAGTGTTCCAGATGCGTTGAAAACCTTTTGAGAATTGGGCTCCGGACACCTCACTCACCAGACAAAACGCGAAAGTATTACACTTTCACTTTACGCCGGTCTTCACGAATGGGCAGGTCCGTCCGGGTAAGTGCCACGACCTAACAGAAGACTGACATGAAGTGGAAGTGCCATACTTCTGCGTTTCCTCTGGTGAGTGAGGTAGCCGGGGCCCACTTTATTAAAAAGTGGCAACGTATCTGCGGCCCACGGGTGTTGCAAATGTGTACTGCGGTTATCACTTAATATAAGGTGAACCGTCAATTAACTTGCCACCTTCTCACATAAAAAAACAATGGTATTGGTACTTAATGTATATTTTGCAAGATTGTTAATGAAGATTTCAGCGTTACTGACAAAAAATCAAAAGAGCTGACAAATTAATGCTCAGAAAATGTTAATTAAATTATGATTAAACAACTACATCCGAGTATAAAATTTGGCTGTAAAATATAAGGAAGTGTTATTTTTTCCTTTTTCTCGTTAAAAATTCTTAATATTGACATTCTAATCTAGGGAGATTAGAATGTCAATATTAAGAATTTATAACAAGTTAAGAATTTAGAACATTTTTACGTAGACGTAGGGACGTCTACGTAAAAATGTTGTCTGTGGCATTTAATAATACTTGTTGATTGATGGCAAATCTTTTTCCGTTCATTACAACTAAATTCCGTTTACTACAACGAGTAGCGTTTATTATAACGAATCGTTATAATCAACGTTACTGAGTTCCACGAGTTACTTAAATATGGCTTTTATAAAACCGTTACGAGGTACGAGAAAATTGTGCTTTATTCGCGTTCATAATTTACTTTTTGTAAAAAATCGTACGATAATTTCTTGTATTCAGGGAAAATTATTCATTGTTAAAATAAAAATATTCGTGTTTGATTTTGATTTTAACTATCTACGTTTATTCTCTGAGGTCCTGTTAGTTTATCAGTATTTAATGAAGCTATTTTTAACTCGATAAAACTTCCTGTGAGTTATTCCGGCGAATAATATATAATGAATATGAATAATTAGATAATGAATATTAATTTACCTACGTTCCAAACTCGAAGCTACGCAGCTATAGGAAAGACGTATTTTTACGGAAAGGAAATAGTTTATCTTTTAACAGTGCTTTCTTTTTTTTTATATCTTTTTGTGCACCTAATCTTCTCTGTACCACACCAAGGTTGACTGGGAGATAATTAATCCTTTTGGCATTAAGTCCGCCTCTGTACAGTTTGTGCATAAAATATAAGTAAATAAACATGTCTACTCACTGTCCTTTGTGTCGAGGAGGAAATCGGCCGGCTGCCCGAGTGAGTTGATCAGCACGGGTGAGCTGCCATTGGCGACGGCGAGGATTGTCGCTGTGGCATTGGTGGCAGTGGAGTTGGCAGCAGTGACGTTCTTCGGGGGCTCCAGCTGTGGCAGGGCGGGCGAGGTCCACGCAAGAATGGTGCCGGCGATCACAGCACCGATGGCGGCTGAGGGATCAAAAAGCTATGGTGAAAGGAGTTCGCTCACAGTTTCGGCTATTGCACGAATGTAATCGATATGCAAGTACGTGCATATTGGAGTTTTATGTTCATGTTTTTTTTTAAATGTCTAATTTTTATCGTTTTAAATGATTGTTGTGTACGTCAGTCTGTTTTATGTCAAATCAACTCTTTCGTTTCTTTCTTTCTCACGGCTCTTCTACCACAAAATCCCTCCAGTAAATGCGCAAAGCCTGTCTATTAACAGGTTTAAGGAATTTGTTAAAAAAAACTTTTTAAAAATGGTTATTATTATTTCTCCTCCGCTAGGGAAATCGTATTATGAAAATATGGTAGATTTAAAAAAAATGAGTATCGATAGATGAAATGTACATTACCTACAAGTAATTCGATGAACAATTTCATTTGATTTGAGATCTCAGTCCAATAATTAGTTTGACGTTTCGTTCGCTCTCTAATCTGCGTGCTAATATCATTGATGTTCAATTCTAATCTAATCCAGATTGAACAACATATCTGAGATTTATTTATTTAAAACACACCAGCAGTACATCAATCCATCACCAGAGATCAATCCATTCCTTCACACGCTCCTCTTTAAGTGACGTAAAAATGGATTGAGTTCGGTCATTGGAATTGGCCGTTGGCCTTTTATATTCCCTGTTCCCTGAGACTGACTATAGCCTGAGACTTCCGGGTAGCGCGCCCTACTCTCAATTGAACTACGCGGCTGATGTCCTCACAATACAAAAATATCACATGCTTAGCGTCACCTAGTATAACTAGGTCCTGTTGTAAACATAGGATAATGTTTTACTACAAAAAGGTCTTTTTTTTATTCTTTGCAGCGTATATTTTACTCGTAAACAATCGATTTAGGGAATTGTTGATTTCCTATATAACTCCCACACCAGTGACACACCTGGTCACTAATATCTGAAAGGACAAAAACCGAAAACACTACTCTGAGTTTAATTATAAACCAACGGTGCTGTTATTTTTTCTATCGTATATTATAAATCATTTTTGGCAGCTCTGACACAAAATGACCGGGTTTACGCGCGGCCAGTGATGTGCATGCACCAAAGTGGCCGGCCGTAACCTTATTTATTTATTTAGTTCATCGAAAGCTACATTGCAACACTCGATCCATGCTCAACTCGCGCTGATACTTGGCGATGTAAAACATCAGAACAAACGAAATTCATTGATGTAGTGAGTATGGCCTGCGTGCAATTCTGATTATTTGTGGATTTAACGTATGTTAAACGGTAGTCATTTTAGTGTAAGGGTTCCTTTAAGTATCACGTAAGCCAGCTAGACAGGGGGATCAACTTTATCTTACTTTTACTGATAAAGCGAGCGGCTACTATAAATTTTATATAAGATAACAACAAATTACAAAATCATTATGTTTCATTATCATTATGGAGTCGATATTTATTTAAACCCCTGAACATTATTATTTGATGATGACATGCAATAAATACAAAATTTGCTAATACAGAAGTTGGGCTAAGATCATTTAAAGTTAGTTTTATGTACTACCTAAAAGCCCTACAGATATTTTATCATAAAAAAAAGAGATAACAAGACCGCAAAGTTTCTTGCCGGTTGTTCTCTGTCAGGTCTAGTTAGTGAACCTATGGTAGGTTTTTTTTGACGTTCAATAAGTGAAGAAGAAAGAAGAAATAAATTTTTACTTGAAAAAAAAAAAAACAAAGCACCAATCTATTGGGTGTATGACACGACACTACGGGTTGCAGCGGGTCCTTCGCTAATGTCGTCGCTAATAAGTTCATTGTCAGACGAAAGACGTCCACTGTCGAACAAAGCCCTTCCCAGAACCTTACGGGTAATATAATTAACATTTTTAATGTAATATATTAATAAGTACGGTGGTTAGATGTAGGTACTAGTTCTGTTCTGCCTACACAGTAAGAAACAACGTGAGAATATCCTACATATGACTACAAACACACGTCTATAAAATAAGCGCCAACTGGAATTAATTAACACTAAACACTGAGAAATAATTAAATGTCTTCATTTACGTACAGTATTGAATTTTAGTACTTTTCTCATTAAACTGGTTACGTACTGAATGCATTACAAACGACAAAGATCGCTATGTAGAATGCAGTAGTATGCAATTGACATATGTATATTAATAATCATTTTATAATTAAATCAACTGAATAACGCCTCCAACATTAACAAAAAAATCGGCCAAGTGCGAGTCGGACTCGACTAAATTGTATGAACGCCCATAGAACTCAGAGGACTATCTAATAACTGGCGACTATAATTGGCGTCAACTGTGTATGTATGGGGACACCCTTTAATTTTCAACGTTTTTTTTATTTTTTGGTATTTTTTTTCGTTTGTGCATTTTGCCAATTAAATTAAATTAAAAGAGTTTCTACCATATAGGTTTTCGACCCAAAACCTATACGGTACTTTCGGTTGACCCAGAATTGTCAATTTTGGTTAACCCATTACTTGTGCTGTAAGCTAAGGCTATAAGTAAAGGGAAAACTAACAGAAAAGGGTAAACTTTTTTCACAAGCAAGCAAGTTTTCGCGAAAATCTAAATATGCGACCCCGGACCTTTAGAATCGTCATAGTGTGGGCAGAGCATAAGTTCGCATGCCTGAGATGAGTCATTGGAAAGAATTCCGACGCGTTTTTTATCCAATAACGACGCATTAATAACTCGGCTCCCGATCAACGTAACATCCTAGTATACAGATACGTAGCCAGCAGTACTGTCACAGCGTAATAAATAGTAGAATTTATAATTTTTTGGATGCCATACCATAATTAAACGAAAGCGGAACAGAACTTTATAAGGTGTACAGTCTCTTCGTGCCTTAAAGCAAAGTTAACTAAGTACCCAATACAAACACAAGATACGCATAATTAAACATGAGCGGCGGTATTCACTTAACATCAGGTGAACCGTCTGCTCGTTTGGCAACTTTTCGCGTAAAAAAAAAAGAGTAAGCTGGTCTTTCTAGCTCTAAAGCCCGTAACGCTTATTCCTTTGCTTTTACAAATGACAATGGGTGGTGATCACAATGACCACAAATGAAGCCTTCCTTCAAAAGGGCTTCTAAAAATGTTTATTATATTTCGTTCACCAAGTCGAAGGCGTCACAACTGGACACTTAATGCGCCCCAAAACACATATGTTATCTCAAGATTATTTATTCTATAACCCGAACTAAATCCATTTGATTATTTATCCCTGAATAATTATAGTTTTCGCACTGTTTAATATCTTGGATATAACGTATTGCAAAATGAACGCAGCTATTGTTTACTTTGCGTATCTGACGCATTTCGATTTGGCAGAGGATTTATGAACAAATAAACAAGTGCGAAGGTTGAATCAATATGGAATTTATAGATATAAATAAATTCACCACAACATTACGGTTTGAACCTAAATTCGTCGTAAAAATGGAGTGGCTTCGATGATGAAATACTTTAAGAGCAGGTGACCACAACCGCAAATATTAAAAAGATATTACATGATAATTAAAGATATTATTTTTTATTTCTTTAAGCTTTATTGCCAAAGTAATATAAAACCTTTTCTTCTTTATTTCCTCCCTCTATAGACCTTCTAGTATATAGAGAGAGGAAATTGCGGAGGTGGGTACTAATGATTAAGCTTATTATTACTTATCTTTAATATCAAGCCAATAAAATTAGGGGGAGTACCAGGCTCACAGAAAAATGGCATGAAGAAGAACTATTTATTATATTGCAGTTCATTTTATAAGAGAAGTGACTTTCTAAGAAATTGCTGATGTAGGTACTAATGATTAAGTATTAGATTCTTTATCTTTAATATCAAGCAAATAAAACCCGGGGGAGTACCACGCCCTCACAGAAAAATGGCATGAAGACGAATTAACATTGCGGTTAAGTTTATGAGAGATCTAAATAAAGGTTTTTTTTTTATTTACCCGCAACAGCAGCGATGTACTGGTTGGTCTTCTTCGTGTCGCCGCCCCTTTCCTGCACCGACAGCATATGCATCGTTGGCTTTTCCATGGCTGGCCACTAAGCTCACCTCCAGACCATTCTGAAACAAAAAAATGTGTACGGTTAGGGACACCCATCAATTTTGTCATTATAATGCGATGCGAAACTGTAAGACTGTAACTTAAATGCAATATCAGCACTTTTATTCCGTTAAGAGAGTCAAAAAATTAAAAGTTAAGATAAGTAACACATGGGAGCTAAGCCGAACGAAATGTAAAAATACTTTAAAAAAATAGAAGCGAATTGAAAACCTCTTTCATTTTTGAAGTCGGTTGAATATTAGACATGTGATGGACCGACAGATTGTCTGATAGACCTATCCGTCTGATAGCCATCCTTATTTATTTACCTTACTAATATTATAAAGGCGAAAGTTTGTATGTATGGATGGATGTTTGTTACTCTTACGCAAATAATACTGAATGGAGTTTAATGAAACTTTACAATAATATAGCTTATACATCAGAATAAGACATAGGCTATAATTTATGTACATATCCTTATGTATATTTGTATTTCTGTCTCGATGTTACGCCTTCAGTCTATTCTACGCAGACGTAGTCGCGGGCAGCAGCTAGTGGTCTATAAATCTATAATCTAAAGCTTCTTCCGAAATTCACGTAGATGAAGTCGCGGCAAGGGCGACAGTATAATAAAAACAATAACTCTATTCAGGATGAACCTAATTACTTAAATGACGCCGTGGCGCTGTTGCCATGGCATAGGATACGGCGCCGGGTTCGTGGGTTCCATTTCCACACGGGACAGCTATTTGTGGGACCCACAGATAATTGTTTCGGATCCGGGTGTTTGTCTACGTGAAGTTTATGTATTTAAAACGTCCTTTTCTTTTTTTCAACATCGCCCTTTGTTTAGAATAACATTATCCTGTGTTGTATAGACGTTTTACAAACATAAATTGCACAACAACAACTTTCTGTGGGTCGCACAAATAGTTGTCCCGTGTGGGAATCGAACCCACGACCCCCGACGCCGAAGCCAATAACTTGGCAACTGCGCCACGGAGTCGTCCTTACAACACAGAATGTTTTACTAGATGGCAATGTTTTTAAAAAAAGGAAGAAACGGTGGTAAAAAAAGGTTCTACGGTGGTAGGGCCACGCAGCAGCCTCGGCTGTTGCACGAATGGGCAGGCCCGTCCGGGTAAGTACCACGACCTCACAGAAGACCAGCGTAAAGTGGAAGTATGACAAATACTTTCGCGTTTCGACTGGTGAGTGAGGTAGCCGGAGCCCAATTTTCAAAAGGTTGTTAACGCATCTGTAACCCTCGGGTGTGGCAGATGTCCATGGGCGGCGGTTTTCACTTAACATCAGTGAACCGTCTGCTCGTTTGACAACTTTTCGCATAAAATAAAAAAAAATAAGAAAATACAGTTTAAATCCTAGTAATCTTTCTAACCCCCACACTAGGCATAGCGTGTCCTTAGGGTGCTAGTTTTTGACGATTACATTATGCGGCCGTCGTAATTTAGAAATAATCAAATATACACTTATGCTTATACATTTGTGGTAGTGTCCTTTTATCTCGCCTATAACACCGTATGGTTCCGAGGAGCTTGCGCAAATCAATTTGAGCCAACTCCATTTAATAAACAGCGATGGGGCGCAGTCACGTTACAACGTTAAAGTCCACCTCGCAGTACGCAACGGAAGGGTCAGCTGACCTCGCATCATTCAAAAGGGTCAGCCGACTCCGCGGCAAGTTAATAGAATCAATAACGCGGATGTAGTGGCGTTTGACTCATCGTCATGCCATCGATGAAATCGTCGTGTATTCCGAATAGGCAGAATTGGACGCGGTCTGACAAATTAACGCTCCTTGGATGAAAACGAAAAATCGGTCAACCAGTCAGAGCAGTCTAGGATAATAGGATCGACTTTGTAGTCAACGTAGTATCGTAGTGGCTAATGGTTAAGCCAAGTTAAGAAAAGACATGTCTTGCAGCGTTTACCACAATAGTTAGGACGATGGAATAAAAAAATCTGAAGCCAGAATGTGAGCCGCCCTTTATTTCTTTAATGAACGCAAATTAGTCTTTGATCGGATTAGCCTCTACTACTACTTCTTTTTTATTTTTTTTAACACATTGCCCTCACTTTAGGATAACATTATCCTGTGTTGTAAGGACGTCTTACAAACATAAATTGCACGAGGAAAAACACCCAGATGCGAAACAACTATCTGTGGGTCACACAAATAGTTGCCCCGTGTGGGAATCGAACCCACGACCCCCGACGCCGAATCCAATACCTTGGCAACTGCGCCACAGAGTCATCAAATTATTATATTAGTGTGGTGGCACTTAGATACTACTAAGTGTAGATACTACTAGTATATGTTCCCAAGGAGGTTTGACGTCAGGTAGACGGCTGATTGTAAAAAAAACACCTAGCCTATTCCATTAAAAACATAGTTCACAGGTATGCAAGAACAAAGTCACACAAACCTACAGACACGATTAACATTAGCGTGTTGACGGTACGACCTTGTGTAGCCCAGCCAAAAAATCGCCTATAGAAGTATTTATAGATCAAAAAGCATCCTCGAATAAGCAACGACATAGATAACCGCAATGATGTTTTAATTTCGACTAGCTGCCCTTATACTTATAGTATTAAAAGCTTCCGTGGACCTTAAGGAACATACATAAAAATAAATTAGCCGAATCAGCCATTCTCGAGTTATACGCTTAACAACATTCATTTTTATTTATTAAGAAGATGACGCATGTCCGTTCTTCAAAGCGTTTAAAAAAATTTCCGCTTTATATTATATGACATATACAAGTGAATGTGACAGGTGACACAGAACGTATGATACGGAAAGAGTTAGCAGTCTATAGAATTGCAATCTAATTATACCAATTGGCGTAATTCGAGTGCCACAATTTCGCGCTAGTGTCGTATCTACCTCGTATTGGCATATAATATCATTGGCTAACCGTCTCCGCCTACCCATTAGGGTGGAGTGTGACCCAGCGGATCCAAGGCCAGGCTGAAGTGACACTCAACACTGGCAAGGCTCGCCAGTTATCAGCGATCGATAATTTATGGATTCGGCGCCTGCCCGTATCGCCACTCGACTCGTTCGCGGAAAAATACGCGGACGATAAACTCGACAAGAACGAGACGCGATAGGAAACGGGGAAACAAGCGCTGAAAATGCGTTCGGCGGCTGTGGGGATAGAACAGCTTTCAAGCAGGGAGATTTGGGCGTAATGTGGTCACTGGCAAAGCCGGATTAAACTAGCGGATCTTATAAATCCGAACAAGAGACATTTAGTTGGCTTTCCTTTTTCGAAAGATGAGATGAAAAGTATGCGTTGGGAATAATACCCCTCTATCTAAAAGCCTTATTAAAATCATAAAATGTCACTAGTAGTCGTACCATAGACATAACAATATACAATTTTAATCTGGCATAAAAAAAACTGACCAAATTCTTAATTTAAAAAAAAACTAAAAAACACACAGATAAGCGAAAAAGTAGAAAATAATTTTGAATCAATTTAAATTATGAATAGTGTGATTAACTGTATATATTTTAGAAAATATAATATATTGTAGAAAAGCTAGGGCTGCTTGGAGTCAATTGCTCTAATATTTTAATGACGAATAATATCATAATGAAAATATCTTAAAAAGCACCCTGCAATATTTTTTATGTTAATCACACTATTCATAATTTAAATTTATTGAAGCTTATTAGTTAGGTTATCTACAAAAGCGTGTTTTTAGACTATTATTTATTTTCTATTTTTTAGTTCTGCTAAGTATCAAAGTGTGTTTTTCATTTTTTAAATACCTACGTACTTAGCACAAGGACACTACCGGTTATCGGATTTGGAAAATACCTAATCCTGAAAGTCCTGATCAGGATAATAGGAAAAACTATTTCAATTATTGCATTATCATGGGTCTGTGACGAGTGTGCAATGTTTCATTTAAATCTGATCGTGCAAAGTGCAGGCAAAATTACGTTTAAAGAAACTAATATAATCGTGTTAAAAAGTAATAGTAGAGCTGTATTAAATTAAAATGAATATTTTTATAATTTGTTTTTTAAATTAACTGTAACATATATTCAAAATATTCGTCATTGTCTCCTTATCGTAGGTGATAGATGTCGCCGCTGTCGAAATGCAATCGACCTCATGACAATGACCTACTTGCTTTCGAAATATAAACGAAAAAAATCGTATTCAGTCCGCGTTTTCTACAATTCCACTGTTAGTTCGTAATAGCCGACTCTTATCTCGCTTGTTCATGATAATGGGAGTTGCCCAAAGGCCCTCTTCATCCACTTTATCGACTTTATTACGCACAATAACAATACTATTTGAAACTTTACAACGCACTAAAAATCACATCGTTTATGGAGAGTACTTGAATGTATTGACTGTTTATTGAATAATTTACAGGTCATATACTGGTGGTCGATTACTTTATACACCCTGACTTATGCTATGTACTTAAGCATTCTCGTATACACAAAGTTTTTCACGTTTGTTCGTTCTCTAGGGAAAATAGACAAAAGAACAATGCGTTATTGTTTGACAGCTATTGTTTTAAATGGCACATCGCCTTTTTCGGCGGGATCTTCTAATGATTGATTTTTTATTTGTCTTCCATTTCGCGTCGAAGTGATGTACTTATTACTGCTATTTCATTGTTTAATGTGATTATATTATTTCATAATGAAAATGCGATAATTTTTGAAAACCTTAAGCTCTGCCAATAAAAACGTCCGTGAGTGTCTTAAGCTGAGCCTGTTGGGATTTGGCTCTCAACGATAAAAAAAAATAAAAATTGGTTTTAATAAATCATCGGGTGTTAGAGCCATTGTATCGGATTACGGTTTACGGTTTTATCGCGAACGGTAGCCACAGATAGATAATCTCCACAGATAAAGCAAGGAAGATAAGACGTCGCAAATAGACGTACCTTTTATTGAACAAAAGCGAATGATAAAAAAGAAGGATGTCGAATATTATTCTTTTTAATATCTTACAAGCAT